CTGGTGGGTAGGGGAGGACTTCCCCAGTGGGCAGTGAGCTGCTATAAACTGGGCTCCCCAGATGTGGCCATCCTCCTCCAGGATCCCCCTGAGGGAGTTATGTCTGTCTTACCCCACCACCCCACAGCAGTGATAGCAATGGAGGGAAGGTTGGAGGTAGGACTTGAGAAAGGCAAGGGAGATAGTTCATGGCCACGTAGGAAGAAGAATTACAGTGGGGGCAAGTGATACTGGGACACATTCCTATGTCCTTAACATAGGAATATTGGGAGCTGGGAGACCCCTTCCCTTCTTTTCTCTTTCTCTCTCCCTCATTACTCATTCTTTCTCTCTCCCTCATTACTCATTCATTCATTCTTTCATCCATTCTCTCTTTCTCTCTCCCTCATTACTCATTCATTCATTCTTTCATCCATTCAATGAATATTTCTTTAGTACCTTCTATGAGTCAGGCACTGCTCTAGGTACAAAATAAATATAATTCCTGTACCCAAGAGCTTAAATCTTAGCATGGGAGAGACAGACCTTGACCATATAAATAACATCTAGCATGTCGGTGGAACAAACAAATCCATCCTGGAAGAAGTACAGCCAGAGGGCTCCTTAGAAGCAATGATGGCAAAACTTCATCTCAAGTACTTTGGATGTATTATCAGGAGGGATTGATCCCTGGAGAGGACAGTATGCTTGGTGAAGTAGAAGGTCAGTGAAAAAGAGAAAGGCCTTCAACGATCTTCCCACTGACCCCGTGGCTGCGACAGTGGGCTCTAACGTGGCAGTGATTGTGAAGCTCATGCAGTACCGGGCAGCGTTTCGTTCTGATGGGTCACTATGAGATGGAACTGCCTTGATGGCACCTAACAACAACAACAGTGTCAGCAGTAGATTACGGTGGGGGAAAGGCCAGGCAGGGCAGGGGTGCAGAACCGAGGATAAGGTGCAAGTTCATTGCTAGAACCACCAGCAGGTAACCTCCCTCCGTGAGTCTCTGATTGCTCATAGAAATGCTGACTTCTTGGAGCTTCTGTGAAGATCAGATCAAGTTTTTGTGGATAACAAGGTTTTCAGTGAGGTAAAGCACTGAATTGCATGATTTTGGTGGTGAAAGGGGATGCTGAGTGAGCAGTTAACAGTGATGGACTTCTTGTGTTCCAAGTCCAGCCAGGGGCTGGCTGTGGGACTTGGCCAGTTGCTGAACCCACCCATGCCTTAGTCTTCTTATCCGTAAAATGGGGCAAATAGTAGTACCTCTCTCATTCAGTTGTGAGGATTTTATCAATTTAAATATGTACTTAATTCCTGTATAGTAAATGCTAAATATATGTTATCTGTTATTATTATTGTTATCTATTATTATTATGGGAGCTCTGGTGGCGTAGTTCCTAAGGCATTTGACTGCCAACCAGAAGGCTGGCAGTTCAAACCTACCAGCCACTTCTCGGAAGGAAGGTTGGGCAATCTACTTCCATAGTGATACTGCCTCAGAAACCCAAGTAGGTGTCACTATGAGTCGGATCCGACTGCATGGCAGTGAGTTTTTATTATTATTATTATAAGAAGCCCTGGTGGTGGAAACTTTCGGTTAAGTGTTTGGCTACTAGAGGCTCCATGGGAAAAAGACTTGGCGATCTGCTCTTGTAAAGGTTATAGATAAGAAAACCAACCGTATGGGGCAGTTCTACTGTGGGGCGTGCTCGGCTGACCTGTGGTGTTCAGGCAAGGCCAGGTCAGGTGCTCACATCTCTGCCCTCCTCTCCCCTACTCCAGCCTTGACCTTCTATCAGAGACGCGGTGCTTCCCTGGGTGACTTGTCAGGAGCAGCTGCCCTTCCGAACAATGGCCCCTACGTGCCACAATGCGATGCCTTTGGGAGCTGGGCCCCCATGCAGTGCTACGCCGGGACTGGTAAGGGTGGGCTGGGTGCCTTGGGGGAGGTGCATCATCCCCTCCTTACTCAGAGCCAAGATCCTCACATAGGGCAGCATGTGAGTGTGAGTCTGGCCCCCCAGTGCCTTACCTGAGCAGTGACCATGTTCCAGCCAGTTGTGGGGATCTTAGTGCCATGACTTGTGATGTGGACAGCATTGAATCGGGGGGTGGAGGGTGGGGTGGAGGGCACCCCTGCTCACCTCTGAGGGAGGATGGAACATCCTTTCTGGGACACTCCCGGAATGAGTACACAGCGTATTTCCTGAATGCCTGTCTTATCCAGGGCACTGCTGGTGTGTGGACAGGAATGGAGAGTACATCCCTGCCTCCCTGGCTGCCCGCTCCCCAAACATCCCGCAGTGTAAGTGGAGCCTGCGGGACCCTCCCACCTCCCTGCCATGGCAGATGCTTCAGAATGGCTGAGCCAGCTCTTGCTACCTAACCATCTAACCATAGGTGGCCCTGTGGCCCAGCCTTTCAGACCAGCCCAGTGCAGTCAATTGTCCCAAGTCCCCAGGCCTGGAAGACTTCTGCTGACCTTGGCATTTCCCAATATGTTGCCCAGTTTCATAGGTGGGAGGAGCCTATGAGAAGCAGCTCAGCCTGGTGGGGAGCCCTGGGCACCTCCCTGTACCCTGCTCCCTGGGAGATATCATCCCCTTTCATCCCTGCACTTGCAACAACCTTTTCCCATCTCTGTCCCCAACTCTGACCTCTCTCTTGAGGCTGGGACCTCTGTAATCAGCTGCTCATTTGCTATGTCAACAGTGTTGCTCCCATAGACATCCTTGTCCCTAAGCCTCAGCCTTTTCTCCTGGGAGGTCATGGCTTTTGTGAAGGGGACTGCCCTCCACCCAGAAACACTGACTCGGGCTCAGCCTGGAAGCCTGGCCTCACCATGGCACCCACGCCCGCCAAGTAAGTGTCTCCTTCTACAGGCCCCACGACCTGTGAGAAATCTCGAGCCAATGGGCTGATTTCCAACTGGAAGCAGGCACCATCTCCAGGAAACCCATCTCCAAAAGACCTGTTCATCCCAACCTGCCTAGAGGTGAGGCTCTGCAGGCCCAGGAAGGGCAAGATGAGGGAGCCAGAACTCGTCCCCATAGTGGGAAGTGGTTTGTCCAGCATTCAACAAAAGAAAAGAAAAATTCACAGGGAATTCTAGGCTTGGATTTTGTCCTGGCTCTGGTAGGCTCTAGCTGTGTGAGCTTGTACCACTTAATTACCTTCTCTGTACTCTTGTTTGTTTGTTTTTCATCATAAGATCAGGGCCAAATTTTTGTCCTATCTAGTGGTAGGAATTTTTTGCGGTTCTAAGGGAGACTCTTCCATAAAAACTCTTTGAAAAATAATCTACACATATACAGGTGCTACCATGTTTTTCCTAAAGTGAACTTGGTCAAATCACTTAATTCATTGTGTCTCAGTTTCTCAACACAAATGGAGGACTTCATAATCTTGCCCTCCCCAGCACCCTGCATGATTGTAACAATGAAGGGACTGATGGAAAGCTCTCAGAGAAAGGACCTGGGCCCAGAATCTAAGATCTTCCTTGTCAAGTGATGGGAGTCAATTTCCCTAAAAAAGAGATGATAGGGACACCCTCACCCGCCTTGCCCAGCTCCCAGGGTGTGATGAAAATCAGATGAAACTTACCACTCAGCTATCAAGAGCAACGGAGTTCTCATGTATTCTGTGACATGGATGGACCTTGAAAACATGTTGAATGAAAGAAGTCAGACACAAGGGCAAATATTGCATGATCCCACTTCTATGAAATGTTTTGAATGGGCAAACATGTAGAGACAGAAAGTAGGTTAGTCCTTGGTAGCATGAACTTAGGGAGGGGACTTCTCCAACCAAACCAACCTCACTGCCATTGAGTTGATTCCAACTCATAGTGACCACATTGAGTTTCCAAGGCTGTGAATCTTTACAGAACAGACTACGTCATCTTTCTTCTGTGGAGGAGTTGGTGGGTTTGAACCATTGACATTTTGGTTAGCAGCCAAATGCCTTAACCACTGCACCACCCGCCAGAGCTTCTTAGGGAGGGGACTTAGTTACTGTTTCATGGATGCACAGTCTCTGTTTGGAAGATGAAGACGTTTTAGGAATAAAAAGTGGTGATGGCTGCACGGTCTTGTGAGCATAATTAATGCCACTGAATCTTACACTGAAAACTCATGACAATGTGAGGGTTTATGTTATTTGTATTTTACTAAGATAAAAAATGATGGTAGGGAGTCAGATGAAGCTATCAATACAGGAGTTTGTAAAACCACAAAGCGCTGAGCAATCTATTCCTTGCCATTACTGATTGCTACTGGGAACATGGACCCCAATTACAAAAGAGTTTTAAGAAAAATTAGCTTATTTAACTTGGCTGATGACCACTTACTATTGAAATAGAAGTCTGATCTGTTGCACTGTGTTCTGATGCTTGCTCCCAGACAGGTAGAAATGAAAGCTTCCAGGGGAGATAGGTGAGACAGAGCAGGGCCTTGAGACCCTCAACTGTGTGGTTCTTAAGCTGCTCCTCTGGAGAGAACAGGACCCAAGATTGCCACTGCCCATACAGTTATGTCTTTGGTCTAAGACTCCAAGAAAAGTTAACAGCTTGAATTTTCTCAATTTTAAGATTTTGTCCCATAAAATATCCTCACATCTTTCCTTGTGTTTGAGTCCTGCCTCTGTTGCTCACTAGCTGTGTGGCCGGAGGCACATCACCTCCTCCTTTGGGGGCTCTCTATGTTGAATGTGGACAGTAGGGTCTCTACCTCCCAGAGGTGCTCTGTGGTTTGAGGGATGCTTAGCATGGGGGAGCCTCATGCTTGTGTTCTCTGTAAAAGTGGATGTTGTTCATATTGTCATTGTCGGAGTACAGCAAGTTACAGTGTGAGCAAGAGGCACACACACCATCCAGGACGCACTCAGCAGCGGTCAGTGTGCCGACAGCTGCTTTTGTGCAGTGCGGTCTTCTGTTGCAGACGTGTGACCAAGGGCCTTTGTGAACCGATCACTCTCGTCCTACCTCCTTATTTTTAGAGGGGGAAACTGAGGCCCAGCAACTTGCAGTGACTTGTGCAGTGGCCCGGCCTGGCTGGTCTGGGACAGGCTAACACTGAAGGGGTTCTGCTCTATGGACCCAGGCAGGTGCCTCTTTTTTTTAAAAATTGTTTTATTGTAAATATATATAACACCATGTTTGCCAATTCCACGTTTTCGACACGAACAGTTCAGTGACATTGGTGACATTCATCATGTTGTCCAACTGCTGCCACCGTCCATTTCCAAGGTGTCCCTCCACCATTCACAGAGCTCGGTGCCTTGCAGCTGAGGCTCCCACTGCCCCTCCTGCTGCCCTGGTAACCATTGACATGTCGGTCTCTGCATCAGTCTGTTTTGTGTAAGTGGGATCATAAAACAGTGATCCTCTGGGCACCCGCCTTCTTTCATTCAGCATTGTGTTTTCAGATCTGTCCATGTTGTAACGTACATCAGGATGTCATTTCCGTATCTGGTGGAGCTTGGGCAAGTGCCTTTGACACGATCGTCTTTATCCCACGTGGCCGATTCTTAAGCTGTCTCTGAGGGCTGCTTGTTGAAAACCCTCCCTGGGCTTGGTGGGCTGGGTCCAGCAGAGAGTGGTGACTTGTGCAGATGGGTCTGGGCCTGGTCCAGTGACTTGCCAGCTGTGGGATGTGGCTCTGTCACTTTTCCTGTCTGGGTGGGCTTCAGCTTCCTCCACCCTCACGTGGGGTGAATGTAGCCCCTGCTTCCTGGAGTTATTGGAACCATATTCAAATAATAGATGTAAAGGGGCTGGGATAGAATAGTCCCTGTGCCCCACCAATGGTATCAATCATTCCCTGGTCCCTAATCACCCATTTGGAGAGGCCACTTCCAGTTGTTTTGAATGGGACACTCTTGGCACCTGCCCGACCCTGCCTACCAGTCTCACAAGAACCTGGCCTGCGGTGACGTGACCTTGATTTTGTCTCAGACAGGAGAATATGCCCCGCTGCAGATGTCTGAGGCTGGCATCTGGTGTGTGGACCCAGTGACAGGAGAAAGGATGCTACGGGACACAGGCAGCAGTGCCCAGTGTGAGCTTTTGTACTCCCCTCCTCACCCCTCCAGC